TTGGCCTTCTGCAACTTGGGCAGTGTGGCTAGAGCACTTGCTGTCGAAGACTGAGGCAAAAAAGTTGTTGAGGACCTCAGCCTGCTCCATATGCTGGGTATCCAGTTCTCCAGCTTCCTTCCAGGGAGGGCCCACATTTTCCCTAGTCTTCTTTCTGTCACTGACATACCTATAGAAGGCTTTTTTGTTCCCTTTGTCATCCCTGGCCAGATTTAATTCTGTCAGGGCTTTAGCTTTCCTAACTTGCTCCCTGGCTACTCGGACGATTTCTCTGTATTCCTCCCATGCTACCTGTCCTTGTTTCCATCCTCTGTAGGCCTCCTTCTTCTGCTTGAGTTTGGCCAGGAGCTCCTTGTTCATCCATGTAGGCCTCCTGGCGTTTCTGCCTGACTTCCTCTTGGTCAGGATGCATCGCTCCTGAGCTTGGAGGAGGTGATCCTTGAAGTCAAATATAATTGGATCAATAAAAAATATAATTTCAATATTGAAGCAAAGATTTAACTATTAAAAGCATGTCACCTTACTGTTAGATTTTTGAGGATAAAAGTATGTTGGTTATAATGCTACTACCCAAGAATTTCGGTTATTCGCTTTAGTATGACAGATACCTGAGTCTGCTAATATTTTTAATAGCTGATATATTTTCTTCTTGTAACTTCATTTTTTATTTTCTTTTAGATGTGGTTTAATAGAAACACATAAGTGAAGTCCTGTTGCTACTCTCCAGTTCACACTAAGTTATTTTCTTTCAGATGCTTAGGAGGAGGCTTAATTCAAATGTATGCTTCAAAGTAATGCTATATTTATAAACAGAATTAGAACTATGTAGATGATAAGACTATGGACTAAAATCAAAGGTACAGAATGAAACTTAGGAGGCTAGAGAGCTGGGTCTGCAACATAATAAAATTAATTCCAGTATGTTTATTCCAAATGTGTCCATGTGTTTGTAGGTATGACCAAAAGGATGTATGTTGAAACTGTACTTGAGGGTATAAAGCAGTGTAAAGAAGAAGGCTTGGATATAGATGTAAGGTAAATAAAGCACATGGAGTATCTCTGTTTCACGGTTTTGTGTAGTCTGATGCTTGGTCATGGTTTGCAGAGAGGAAATAACATTGTGCTTAAACTAGATTACATGGAATGGAAACAGATAATTCACATGCAAACTTGAATTTTTATCTTCCTTTTTACTGATAGAGAATGAAACTGGATTAAGCTTTGCAGCTCCACTCTCTGCAACATTTTCAGGAAAAGCAGTGTTTTTGATGGAAATCACATTAAAGACTCCCTTTTCACTGCCTAGACTCATTGCAAAGATTTTTCTTGACAAGCTGTGCCAGCAACCTGCTGTAAAGGAGCCGTGGTCCTCACCAGCAGAAACCTTTCACACAGTGTCAGTGGTTGCGTGGCGGCAGTCTGCTTGCCTGGCTCTTACACTCCGAGTAGAGCAGCCCTTGTTAGATTTATTTGTGGAAGCTGAAGAATTCCCATTCTTCATGTGTGTACCTCAGAGAGGTTGCCAGCCTGATAGTGCAGGCAGCGGACGAGCAGGGCATGGTTCCCTGCCCGCCCTCTCACCATGGCTATCGCTTTTCGCAGGCGAGCGCGTTTGTCTGATTGGTGTCCCTCTGTGCTTTGGTACCTGCGTTCCTTGAACAGGTGCCTATACAAATACTTTTTATACTCAACTGTGTAGGATGTGAAACTCCATTTTTGTTGGTATCAGATTTGTTGTTCTCCTGATATTACAGCTTGTTTTTAACTTAATACATACCTTTCTGTCCTAGATTGTTAATAGCAATAAATAGAGGAGGTGGCCCAGTAGTTGCAAAGCAGACTGTTAAACTTGCTGAAGAGTTCCTTCTTTCCACGGATGGGGTTGTAGTAGGACTTGACCTCAGTGGTGATCCCACGGTAAGTTTTTGTTTTATTTTGATCTGTTCTTGAAGATAAATATATAATGTTGTGTAACAGCAAGTGGTTCTAATTGTCCTTTGTAATTACAAGTTTTTGTGTGATGTTTGTTGCTAGTTTGAATGGATTGCTCAGAATCTTGATACCAGGTTAGTCCCTGTTGCTGTAAGGGACCGATACTCTAACATAAAGAATCAATAGTTCATATATGACACTGAAAAAGGAGCCACTGAAAAGTAGCGTTTTGCTTGAGAAGTGTCCGTTACTAAATTGACTGGGTTGAGGCAAGTTAAATAGCACTGCAAATTGACCCCAGTTTAAATTTTGTTTAGATGCATCAAATGCTTATTGCGTATTAAGAAAGCAGAAATGTTTGAGGACAGCTATCAAGCTGAAGTGAAATGGCTGTGGGTGATAGCTGTAGAAGGGATATCAGAATCAGTTGGCTTGTCAAAGTTGGGCATCGTCTGACCTGTTGATCAGTTTGTCTAAATGTGCCCTTACAGCAGAACATTGTATGACTTGCTGCATTCAAAACTGATGTAATGGGAAAAGAGAAATAATTCAGTGTAACTCTGTTTGAATTAAGTATTTTGATATTGTTAGACTTCTTAATTATTGCAATAGCAGGAGTTCTGTAAAACAAGTTGTAGAAGGTCAAAAAAAGCAGGACTGAAGCTGGCACTGCATCTTTCAGAGGTAAAAGTTTTCTTCATTTTGGTCCTTCTCTGTAATGCCCATTTTATAAGAACCTTTATGAAAGTAAAATTAACTTCTGTGTGTTTTGAACTTCTCAGGACAAAGTAGTAACTGTTTGGAGTGTTTTGACAAGAGAGAAGGGAGGAATCTTCAGCAATCTGTTCTGCATCAGAACTTCAAATTATTTCTTACTGTACCATATCTATTGGGGGGATAGGTGTGAATTTGAAAATTAGTAATATTCCAAGAGATCCTCTGGTTTTTTCTTGGTAATTTATCAGAATTCATGTACAGTAAAATTTGCATGGTTTCATGAGTAGTTCTGTTAGCTCTGCTTGTGTCAGTTGAAAGTGTTGGGCTTCTGCATGCAGTCTGCTGAAGTGGTGGCTGAAGTTTGCTCTGATGAGTCTGTGTAAAACAGGCATTAAGGGTCCTCTTGACAGGGTGGTTTTGAAACTGAAGCATAGGAAGGTGATCTGCGGCCTCCAGCTGGAAGTACTTCAGCACTGCAAATTGCCTTTGTCTGTTTTCACATACCAGTTCAGGAATGTGGCTTGCTCAGTTTATAATTACAAGTTGACAGTCACTTTCATGTGCTACTTCTTTCTTTACAGGGTAGTAATATAGGTATTTAGTCTCACTGAGACTTTCTTTTGCATAAGATACACTGTGAAAATAGAACTTGAAGTCTGTTGTAATTATTTTATGTGCTGTTTCATGCTGCCTTGACAGAACGTAAAATATATCCTCTCTAGATTCCAAATCAAGAAGAGGAGACCAAAATTCTCCTGGGCCTGCCTCCTGACAGAATTGGACATGGAACGTTTCTCAACTCTGCAACAGCAGGTTCAGAAGAGTTAGTGCCACTTGTTCGACAGAATCACATACCTATTGGTAAGGAAAAACGTTCAGAAAATGCCTTGGTCATCTCCAGATTTCAGAACGTCACACGTACTGCTGATCTAGTACCTCTGGTTTGTCTTTGCCCAGAGGTGACGCGGAAGGACGTGGCAGTGTATGAGAGAATTGCCTGTAAAGGTGCACTGGTAACACTTTTGTGGCTTTGACATATTTGTGGCGGCAGACGACAACTGGTATCTCAGATGAAAACAAAACTAAATCATAACTTCTAGTTACTGTGCAAGGCTGTGTGGTGTTTCTATATCTGGTTTGCAAGCTCCCTAAATTTTATACCCAGCCAGTAGCGAAGGAGGAATCGATTACCAAACTTTCCTCAGAAGATATTACCAAATATTTGAAGCACAGAAAAGCAAGGAAACAACAATAGCCGATACTAATTTTCATTCAGGAACAACAATAAGTCAATTAATGTGTCAACAACGTGTATTTTGTTTTGATATATATCCTTGTTTCTTCTTTTTTTTCCTTAGAACTTTGCATGACCTCAAACATCAAAACTCAGACAGTGCCCTCCTGTGACAAGCACCATTTTGCATACTGGTACAACATGGGCCACCCTGCAGTACTTTGTGTAAGTTTTTTTTTTATTTTAACCATGTATTTAGGTAAAGAGCTAAACTAGTGTGAAGCTGGAGAAGTATATCTCCTTTTATGGATCAGAGCTGGCTTACTAACAATTTCTGACCTTGCAGCAAATCATCTGCTTATAGGAAATCATAACGTTCTGTTTGAGAAACGCTTGTAATACAAGTGGGAATTTTTATAGTACTTCTATTGGTTTTATTGTAAAGCAAGACCTTTTTTTTTGGGGGGGTATAGGTAAGATGATCAGCTATGCATGCAATGAACTTTTTCACTGTTTGCGTACTGACAGATTTCTCTTAAACATATTGGTCCAATGCCTGCGTGTAAGCTTGTGCTTACCTGGGTATTTACGGTGTTGGATGAGAGCTTTTGAGTTCTTTTGACAGGTAATAAAGGTCGTTGAACGCTGAAGTGCCAAGTACTTTTGCTGGCATTGGCAGGATTTTACTATCATCCTGTTGGTTTAACCCCTATAATTTGTAGCATTGTCCAAGTGTGTGTTAGCTCATGTTAGAGCATTGTGCTTATTATTCAAATAAGTCTCACTCCTTTATTGAATAAAGTATTTATTTTTGAGTTTGAGCTCTGTTATGTTAGGTGAAAAATAATTCATGATTAGAGATTTTTTTCTGAGATTTTCAATTGTGAAAAGTGTAGGTGTCACCGAAAATCGTGGAATTATCCTCCGTGCCTCCAGCACTGCAATAAAGAATGCCTGCCTTTTAACGCTACATTGGTGTTATGAGGTTTTATTCCCGGATTTTCGGTGACATAGGTAACCAATGAAGTCATGTAAGAAAGCAGTTTACCCATAAAGGCCTATAAAAACAAGGGTAGTAGAAGGAGGAGATACTACAGTGTAATAAGGTTCACAGGGTGTAGTTAGCATTCTTGTCTGTGGGGACACAAGGACTCTGAGTTGCAAATGGGCAGTCTCATTAACCCTTAAATAATACTAACTCGCTCCTTTGAGATGATGAATAATCTTTAGGTGCCTTTCGATCACACGTTTTTGGTGCTAGGCTGGTACTTGAGTCAGTATCAAGCAATTGTTCCAGCTGAGACAAAGTGCAGAGGCTGAGACGGTTTCTTCCCTGAAGATGCAGGAGTGCACAGAATGCTCTGCTTCCCAGCTCAGAGGATGGGGAAAAGAGGAATAAGGAGACCTGCCCATGCTGACATAGCCTGAGTGTCTGCTTCACTTGATAGCCACCCCACCTTTCAATAGGAAAACAGGAAATCCTATTTTCTGTAAGATGTTTTCATATATGTTTGAGTAATGTATTAATTTTGAGTGAAAATAGGGCAGATAAAGTATGAAATACTTTACCAACAGGTGAAAGAACCATGGACTAAAATGTGAAACAGCAGGATATAACTAGTTCGTAATAGGTGGAAAAAACCCTTTTTGTTGTAGAGGAACTAATTTAAACTTTTTTTTTTCCCTCTTCTTTCAATTTAACTCCAGACTGATGATAAAGGCGTCTTTGCCACAGATCTATCGCAAGAATACGAGCTGGTTGCAAAAACATTTAATCTGACTCGGTCACAGATGTGGGATCTTTCCTACGAATCCATCAACTACATCTTTGCTTCAAGTGTGGTAAAATCAAAGCTGAGGGAACAGTGGTGTAAACTGAAGCCAACTCTGTTTGGTTAATCAAACTGTTGTTCTAAACAGCTTGAGTGTGTTACCTTAGTCAATAAGCGTTTGTTACTGAAGTCCCTGGCTTTTTTCAGACTTCAGGTGTGTAAGTCCAGCCCAGAAACTGTGCCTGTGCAAAATGAAGATGACAGGAATGGATCCTTTCATAGTGGGGACAGAAGTAAACGTTCTTTCGTAGCTGGCAAGGGCTCTCAGCCAGTGACTAAAATTCCAAATGTGTCGTCAAGTCGTTGATAGGACATGTTTAAAAAGTACTTGGTTGACACATGTCATTGTACTACCAACGATGGAGAGTCAGAGCAAAATAAAGGCACAGCTGTTAGGGTTTAAAATGTCTCTGTTGGCAACGTTATGCCAAGCAGTTTGTATGTGTGGTGTGTACATTTGGGGTTTGTATTGTTTTTAAACAGAAGTTTTGAGCAATTGATTGAATGTGAAGACAGAACTCAGGGAGAATGAAATCTTTGTCGCAAAGGAATTAAATACTGCGTCTGTTTTTACTGGTGTACATGGGTGACTGAAGCGTGCTGTGGATCCTGTAGCAGACGTGGGGGTGCCCGTTGATGCACTCAGCACTGGTAGTGTTCAGACAAAGTTAAGAATCTTGAATGCCTTAGCATAGCAAACTGTAAGCTACGTGGGGGAAGTGGTCTGATCCTTAAAATGCTTTTTAGAATTGCTGTTTGTTTCTTGTTAAAAAAGCAATAAAAATACCTTCAACCTCCATGTTTTCAAAGCCACTGCTTCACATGAGCGTGCGTGTGTGTATGCTTATGCTTGAGATCTGCAGAGGAGAAGCACACGTAACCTGCTGTGGGATTTGGTGAGCGCGAGTCCCTGGCACGGGCTTGCTGTCTGGGAGCGGCACCGCTTCTATGCTGACAGCAGACTGTGCTCCAGGGCTCAGGCAGTGACAGCGTGTGCTCCGCCTGTCTCTCTGCACGTGTGTTTTGATACTGAGATATCAAAATATATGTGAACATGCACGGGCAACAGTGTCTAATACTAGATGCTACTAGTCTGTGTAGGAAGTATCCAGAGAGAAGGTATTTCATACCTAGGATGTTTCTACAACGATTAATTAAACAAGCAAACATTCTGGGCTCTGTAAGGAATACTGAATATAAGTGCAATGATAGAAAAGCTGTTACTGGCTTCTGTGTTGGGCTTTTTTAATAAAATCGGCATCAAGTAGTTGTTCTGACTCCAAAGTAGCAATAAGAAATGAAAATTTTAAAAAACGGGGTGGGGGGAGGGATAGCAAAGAAGTTGGTATGTCTGTGTGGCTGCCCGAGGCTTCCACAGAATGTTTTCCGAGCAAAAACATTCCTTTTGGAGTTGGGGGAAAATTACGTGAAGCGGAACTGTGGTTTTATATATTCTTCTCTGAACTCAAAGACCTCATGCTGACTTTTTATTTATAAACAGTTCTTTAAATTACTTTCCAAATAGTTTCACTGGTCACGTTATCTTTTGTTGTTTGATCAAGTTTGTCTGTATTTTCTTTCTACAAAAATACTTATTATGGTGTTTGTATTCTGTTTCCTTTCTTATTGAAAAGTTCTCTAAAGACAGGCTGAGCAGCTTTCTGGAATGTTACAGGCAGGCATATCTTAGTCTCAGGATAAATGGGCCTACAACCGAGTAAGATGGTATTCTCTTGTAAAATAAGTTTTTTAATATATTTATAGGTTATGGCCTTCTAGTAACTCTTCAGTAACATTGATTTATTAGCGAGGAAAAACAATTGACTGTTTATTTGCTAAGGGGTCATCCTCAGTGTTCATTTTGTCTGTCAAGTGTTAAAACTTTCTAAAGCAAAGTAAGACTCATTAGTGTCTGATGAGATTTTTAGTTTCAAACTGTTAGTGTTGCACAGAGGTAAGTTTGACGTTTAAGGTTTATGTGTTGAATGTGACCTGTAGATGTATTCATTCAGAAAGCACAGCCCTGGTAAATGGTGCTATTTTCCACTTCTTTTTTTTTCCTGCATGCATGCAGTGTCTCAGAGATTTTTAACATAATGGACTGTTATATACAGTTCTCAGTATCTCCATTTAATTGACTTTTTTGTGTCTTCAAAATACTGCCTTGCATCAGTTGTGGTACTGCCCCCAAACAGTTTGGTACATGATAACACGTGGATGCTGCGTAGTTTTAGAATTAAAGAAACCTTCCCTGATTATTAATGAATTGAGAATGTTCGGGATACACAGTGAAACAGTGCTGTTGTATGGAGTCCAGAGGCACGGGATCACTCCTCTGAAGACTCTGTACTTACCCTGACACTTACGATACTTGCAGATGGGCTGTTGATTGAAAAAACCCCACCACTTTGCATTGACAATATTTATAGTGTCTTGGCTAGTAATGGAAGTCAGGAGGTAGCTTGGAGGATTCCATTTGTGTGAAGAACCAGGAATATATTTGGGTGGCTAAAGAATGATACACGCAGCCAGGGGATTTCTGTAGATTGGTTTCTAACCATGTGTTCCGGCAGTTATTTACACTTAGGGTAGAAATGAAAGCTGGAAAGGATGGGGAGAAGTTTTGGAATGAAGAATCATCATCAGATTAGAACTCTGTCGTGTGCGGTTCCCAAGCTGTACATTAGAAGCTGAAACCTTACCTTCTTACTATCACCGGGCTATTTTTCAGGAGTGTAACTTTTATAAGAAGAACTGCAGAGGTTCCTTCTTTGGCTTCAAGTAGGATTATAGTTCATTTTAATTTAAGTGCTTCTTGCTGAGCCTGCTTGTTAAATTCAGAGTTAACAGTGACATAACTGTTGTTTAGTTTATGATATTGGATAAAAATGACTGTGACATACAGTCAGTGAAGCATCACCACTGAAGTAACCAGCAGTAATGGGGCAGAGGACGTGTCCCCCCCCCCAACCCCCGAATGCAGTGGAAATTCTGAGTAACTATTTCTATAATTTCATATGGTATAAGATGAGGTTTAAGTATGTATTCAGGTGCAGCTCAACTTATTTTTTAAGTAAATAAAATAGATGTAGACCAAGTTAATATTTTTGTTTATTTCCATCTGATTATATGAGATAACACTTACAGAACAGTCTTCAATGCTCAGAGTCTTTATTCACATCCCATGAAAATATACACTTTGGTCCTATTAAATACTGTCTTGGAGATGTGTGCAAGCAGAGAGCAACTGCTTACTGTAGCAGAAGTTTCTCAGCGTTCCTTTTGAGACAAACAAAGTCTTCAAATCCTCAATCTACTTATGATTAGGCTGGTAACATACCACAGCTCGTCACAGTACAACCGCTGAACTGTAAGTATGTGCACACTACTTCAGGATCGTAGCTTTGCAAATAATGTAGTTACATGAATGCTTTATATGCCTGTTTCAAACAAATACATAAACAAATAATAATACAGGTAAGGTTACTGCATTGGGCAAGTGCATAAGCTAATCAAGAGACCGGAGCATCTCTGGTATAAGGGGCCTGGCAAGCTGGGGCTGTTCAGACTGGAGAAGAGCAGGCTCGGGGTGGATCTCATCAATAAGAGGAGTAAAGAAGATGGAGCTAGGCTCTTCTCAGTGATACCCAGGCACAGGAAAAGGGGCACAAACCGACACACAGGGAATTCCACTTGAACGTGAGGAGATACTTTTCTACTGTGCGGCTGCTTGAATGTGGGAGCACACTGCCCAGGCAGGTTGGGGAGTCTCCGTCCTTGCAGATACTCAAAACCCAAAGTGACCTGCTGTAGTGGACCCTGCTTGAGCAAAGGAGGTGGACTGGACGATCTCCTGAGATGCCTTCCAACCTCAACTATTCTGTGATTCTGTGAATATACAAATATACAAATGATAAACTATATGAATACAAAATCTTTAAAAATTAAATACTGACTTAACTCAGTCACTCAAGTGACAATTTTTCCCCAGGCTTGAACAAAAGCAGTTGACTGACTTGAGAAATCGGAATGAATTACTCATTCTTCGTAGCCTGCCTTCTCTTGCATCTGCTGTGGAATCCCTTAGTGCCATCAGGCCCTCTAGGCAGCCGCAGCACCCCAACAGGCAGACCGTCTGCATTTTGTATTTTCCAAGCTAACATGGGGCTACTGACGGGACTCTTCTCTTGTGTCACAGTTTGAGCTTTTCTTCTCTGTACCCAGGGGCTACCAGAAGGAGTGATACTGCTATCTGAGGAATAATCCGTACATTTCCTTCGAATTTCAGGGCTGGTGCTTGGGTTTAGCTTGCTGTCTTCAGCCAGCGGAGACTTTTTGGTTACTTTTCTTAGTGAAGATGGACTGTTCCACGGACTTGATCTGGGTGACACATTAGGACTCAAATGGTTGTTTGGGTGAATGACGGGGCTCAAACTACTCACAGTATTTGTTGCAGTACTTCTGCGTCCTGACAGTGGTGATGTTGGATTGCTCTCTGGGTCAGAAGAGCTGTTGGCTGAAGATTCATCACCAATGAACTGAAGTTCCTCAATTCTCTTATTGAGGGATCTGGCCTTCTTAAGACTCTTGCTGGTACCTTCATCACAGTTCTTGTCTTTGGGAACTTTTTTCTTTGGAGGTTTCATGCCTATTAGAACAACCTTCATGCCGGTCTCTTTCTTTTTGGCACACATGAAGTCATGAGCATGCACGGCAGCATCTACTTCTTCAAATTCTATAATTGCACATTCCTGAGTTCCAAGTTGGGTGTACCGATTGCTGACCCTCCTGATATCTGGTGGCAGATGCCTACCAGGCTTGAGAATATGAACGGATGAAATTACACCAAAAGTTACAAAGGCTTTGAGGAGATGCTCCATTATCCTTTCTTGCATGCATCCATTTTCCTGTTGTTTGTTATGAGTCTGCAGCTCAGAAATCATGTGGATATCGTACACCAGTAACATCCTGGTAGGGAGGTTTTCACTTGGAAACACTGGAACTGGAGTACTTCTTCTAACCTTTCTGTTATCATCATTGAGCTCAAGAATGTCCGAGTACTTCAGTGCATAGGCTGTGGTTCTCCAGT